GCTTTGACGGATTAGGACGCATATCAGACCCTTATCACATTAAGATTAACTCTGACGCAACGCCTGTTGTTCATCCACCTCGTAAGCTTCCTTCAGCGTTGAGAGATCGAGTCCAGAACGAACTACAAGAAATGGAATCAAGGGGAATCATTAAGAAAGTCAACGAGCCCACGGCATGGGTAAACTCCATGGTAGTTAACGAGAAACGCTCGGGAAAATTACGTATATGCATCGATCCACGAGATCTCAACAAAGCGCTGCGTAGAGAGCATTACGAACTCCCCACACAGCAGGAGATAACAAGCCGCCTGACAGACGCCAAATTCTTCAGTAAACTGGATGCGAACTCTGGATTTTGGCAAATGCCACTTGACGAAGAGAGCTCTTATTTGACGACATTTAATACGCCATTCGGTCGCTATCGCTTTACTGTGATACCATTTGGTGTCGTGTTTGCACAAGAGGTGTTTCATAAAACTGTCAACGAGAAATTTCATGATTTACCCTGATGCGAGACGGACATTGATGATATTTTGATTTGGGGACGAACACTGGAAGAACATGATCAAAACCTTGAACGTGTTCTCAATCGAGTGACAGATATCAATATGACACTTAGTAAAGACAAATGTCAGTTTCGACAAACAAAGATAACCTATCTGGGAGAAACGCTTACGGCAAATGGTGTCAAGCCTGACGAGACCAAAGTTGAAGCAATCAAGAATTACCCCAAAACCTACGAACAAGCATGACGTCCAACGACTGTTAGGCATGGTCAATTTTATCGCCAAGTTTGCACCGAACATTTCAGACGTCACCGCACCTCTGAGAGAACTCATCAAAAAGAACGTTGCATTCCACTGGCTCGAAACACACGAGAAAGCGTTCCGAGATCTACAGCATTTACTAACTGACCCTGCTACTCTGCGTTACTAAGATGTAGCAAAACCAGTGACACTCCAAGTCGACGCATCACAAAACGGTCTTGGAGCTGCTCTAATCCAAAACCAAAGTCCAGTAGCTTACGCATCGAAAGCCATGAACGACACACAACGACGCTACGCACAAATCGAAAAGGAACTGCTGGCTGTTGTTTTCACCTGCAAAAGATTCCATCAGTACGTTTATGGTAAAACCATTACTGTCGAAAGCGACCACAAACCTCTGGAAGCTATTCTCAAAAAACCCTTGTCACAAGCACCGAGTCGCCTCCAGAAAATGTTAATGCAGCTACAAGCCTACGACATCAACTTGGTTTACAAGAAAGGAAGTGAAATGTACATCGCTGATGCGCTGTCACGTGCATTTCCTCCTGAGATAATACCAGAGCAATTTGAAGAAGACATAGCTTCGGAGCGATTCATCCATCTGATGTCATCCGAGTCTTACGTCACTGACCGGAAACTCCAAGCCATCAAAGATGAAATCCATACAAACGAAACAATGCAACTTTTGGTCAAACAGATACAAGATGGATGGCCAGATCATAAGATACTGGTTCCAAGTGAAGTACAACCGTACTACCCATATCGCCAAGAACTGACTACCGAAGGTGGGCTTATCTGCAAGGCCCATAACATACTCATTCCACCATCATTGCGAGCTGACACCCTCCATAAACTCCACCAATCACACCAAGGAATTGAGAAGACAACGAGATTGGCTAGGGAGAGCATATTATGGCCAGGTATGAATTCCCAGATTGAAGAATTAGTGTCGAACTGTTCCACATGTCTTCATCACGCCAGTGCCAACCAACGAGAACCACTTCATCCACATGAAATTCCCTGTCGACCCTGGTAAAAAGTCGGCACTGATCTTTTTGACAGGAATGGAAAACCGCATCTAATAGTCGTTGACTATTACAGCCGATACCCCGAAGTTTCTGAACTTCGAAACACGAAAGCATGAACAGTCATCAACAAGACAAAGTCCATATTCAGTCGACACGGAATCCCAGAAAGTGTAGTCTCCGATAACGGCCCACAGTACTCATCCGAAGAGTACAAACAGTTCGCTAACGACTACAACTTCATCCATAACACTATCAGCCCGAGATACCCCCAGTCTGGTGGTCTACATGAAAAGACAGTCCAAACAGTCAAGAACCTTCTTGAAAAATGCAAAGTCGCCAATCAAGACCCATATCTCGCGTTGTTAGATTACCGCAACACCCTTATAGATGGCGTCACCCCAGCACAAGCCCTAATGAGCAGACGACTCCGCTCACCCCTTCCCATATCCCAAAGAAAGCTTAATCCAAAACCTGTCAACAGAACCACTTTCCACGCAGCACGTCAACAACAACAGCAAAAACAACAGAGAAAACACTATGACCGCACTGCTAAGTCTCTGCCACCATTAGAAAAAGGTGATGCAGTGAGATTTAAGAAAGATCCTCAAGCAGCATGGACCCGTGGGACGGTGATACGAAAGCACGAAGCACCACGAAGCTACGTAATTAAGGGTGAGAACGGGACGGAATATCGACGGAATCGCAGACATCTACGAAAGACTAGAGAACATCAAGCCTAGATACACCGGATATTGACGATCTCCAAGACCCGATCCCACAACCAACAACCACTGCAGAAAGAAACAACATCCAAATCCCAATAGCGCCAAACCTACCTCAACTGAAGACAAGCCGTTATGGCAGACGGATAAACCAGAATCCGAACTACAAGACGTGAACATATGGAGCATACTTGCCATATTGTTTGAATACGTTTACTTAAATATTGAATCGAACACGTAATCCAAACATAGACTTGATTTCTTAAATAATTCATTTTACGTTATATATAATTTGGTAATAATTACTTTTAATTTAGAAAAAGGGGGATGTAATATATGCTCATATATAGTAGCTATATATATACATCAATTAGGTTGATTGACAGTTCACATCATAATCACTATAGCACATGTAATTGTAATAGGAACCTCAAGGACACTCGCTAGAACACCTAGACATGATCAGACGTGTATCTTTTACTTATGAATAAATCTTCTATAAGCACATAGAAGCATTACAAATATTGTCAAAGTACATAACAAATTTTTCAAGCATATTATATGGTAAAACCGGACCAGAAAAATGCAAAACATAAAACAGCATACTTTTTCATTATCGTTTTGGTAGAGAGGCGTGGATTAAATCAAAACAGATTCATTTATATGTGCTTTTGATCGGCAAAGCAGGGTGAACAAGAACCTGACGTTGTCGGAAGCAACTGAATTTGTCAAAGCGGAAACAACAAGCCTAAACTTTTTATTCCTATGCTCTTCTGCAACCATATTCTTGAAAAAGCACTGATGTACATTTTTAATGACTGCTATTTGTTTTTATGTGTGCTTCTTGCCAGTTTAACGAGTTTTCGTTATTTCTTATTCGTGTTAATCAACGTTTAAATTTTTTTCAGCATCGCTTTAATACATAACCGCACTGCTGTCAAATTAGTTCGCATTCAACAATTTTACATTCAAGAGGTTTTCGGCATTCAAAGCGTCCCTCGCCCATTGGGCTCGAGCACAGTTTTTCTCATCCGGACCTCGCAGCCGGTAAACACTAAGACACTGAATGATAAGATCTAATTGTTGTCTTCGATTAGAGATGACTAACTAATTTGCTATGCCTATGAACGGAGCTTCGTGTATAGAGCGTTTGCGTAATTGTCATCCACTTAAATGACTTCATGAGTTGATGCACTTCATCCACTTGATGTCTACATCGCATGAACGAATTCAGTTTCTCACTGATCTGTCAAATAAGAATATAACTTTTAAAACTAAAAGGCAGAAACCAATTCCGTACCGAACAAGTACCTGGGACGGCTATACTCGGTCCACTCTTTGAAGAACATGCAGAATAGTACAAAATAATCAGCATTAGAGTCATCTCTTCATTCCAACCATGCATGGATAGCGAGAATAAACCATTTATTGAACATGCAGTGGCGGCTTTCGGTGGTGGAAATATATAGTTGGGCATTGCGGTGCACGTCTTTAAAAGAGGTCGTTGATCGGAGCTATTTTTAGAAGCCTAGCTTGGGAGATATGATATTTTTCTATTCAAAGAAGGCGCCAGAGCTGTAAGGCCCGGTTTAGACGCCGTACTTTTCATGAGCCGAACTTAATACAACGAATTAAGCACATGAGAAGCACGGCGTCTAAATCAATTAAGCACTGCACTTAATATTAAGCACGGCTAAATTAATAAGTTCGCCTGGTTCAGGCGTGCTACACGACTGAAGCACATGTTGATTTATACTGCCGTGCTTTACATGAGCCGTACCAAATGCATAAATTATGATAATATAGAATATTTATAGTACGCGAGCGTTGATTGGTCGAAAAGCGTGGTTCTACACGGGAAATTTCCCGTCTAAAGTACAATCGTAAACAAAACAATTTTAATGCAAATTAAGAATTGTTTAGTACAGTCAAAATACAAAAACCTTACCACTGGCTTGTTTTGTATTTTTGTAATTTGTTTTATTTTTCTGTAGTGATTTAATACCGCTTTATCGGCAAATATCGCGGTAGAATTTCCCTTTTCTTTATATACGTCAATTTGTAGCAAAGGATACACCTTTCGTTAGACTCTTTGCATAAAAGTTGCGAAATTAGGCTTATAGTGATATTTGCTGATAAAGGCAGAAAGGGTTTCTTGCAGTAAATTGATGGAGCAAAGGTCGGCATTATTACGCAATGAGAATTTGTAAATATATCGAGTCTACTACAAATCTTTTTTTAGTTATATTATGAAATAAATATAAAACATTAATGTATGACCCATAAAGTTATAGAAACACTTGTAGTAGTTTGGGAGAACTCGAATAACGTGGAAAAGCTCTCTAAGTTCTGAAGTCTAAGCCTATAGATCTCGTTTTCCCACACATTATATCCAGGCATTATGCTATGTTTGTAGTAATAAGGCTTTTCAAAAAGAAATTGAAATTTTTAAAAAACCGCAAACCTGTAGACGCTCAGAAATGCCAAGATTGTATGTGATAAACCCTTTTTTCTTATTATAAAATGTCACTCGCTCCAGGTTTCGAAGTGAAGCAGCGCAAATTATTAAGTACGGCTCATGAAAAGCACGCCTGTCTAAATCAAAATTGGAAGTACGCCTATTTTACTCGAGTAAAATATGAATTAAGTTCGGCTCATGAAAAGCACGGCGTCTAAACCGGGCCTAAGTGGGAGGGAATTGCAAGCAACCACAGAAATAAGTTGGTCAGGATGTATTGGAAGGAAAATATATGTCAAAATCTATAAAGCTACTAAATACTTTGACGAACAAGGAGCAAAATCTCTACTGCGTCAAGCAGGACGCTGAAGCGAGAGAAGGCGAGGACTATTCAGTAGCGTAATTTTTCATAAGCGGCTGAAACTGCATGTGTCCTCAAATGGACAGAAAACCTACTGACGGATAACGAATGATCTATGATGAATCTGACAGTGACAGTGATATATGTATATATATATATATATATATATATATATAATTTATCTATATATACTTTTCGTATATGATTTATCAGTTTTATCGTACACATATTTACTTTTTTTGTTATATAGTTGTGTTTAGAAAGCACTTAGCAGAAAACACTTAGAAAACACTTAGCAAAAAATACTTATAAAACACTTAGGAAACACTTAGGAAACACTTAGGAAACACTTAGGAAACACTTAGAAGCACTTAGAAAACACGCAGAAAACACGTCATTAATACTATATGCTTTCGTATATAATTTATCAGTTTTATCGTACATGATATATTTACTTTATTTTGTTAACTGTGCTATATATAAAACACTTACCAACAATATATTTGTATTCCTTAGCAATACTCCAGGGCTATAAAGACTAATATTTTTTAATTGTTTCGAGCACAAGCATTAGACAAGACTTTTGGTGTAAAGGTAATCGCCTTAGAAGGGAGGCTGGATGCGCAGGTGTGAAATATAGTCCGTAAAAGGTCATCAGGTTTAGATTATGGTTAGGATCAGGTTAATACTAGCACATAGCGTTCGGATGATGGGTTAGTAACGACGTTAGAATTAGTGCTCGAATTACGGCAACGCCATAGTTGATAATTAAGACACAGACAATTAAGATATCATGTTGTAATAGTGCACACCAACAAGGAAAGATGAAAGAGCGATTGAGATCTGACAATTTAAATATTCGTTATTGATAATTCACAATTGGTTTGAAGTTTCCTCTTAAAAATACGTAATTGATACTGAATTTTGGCTGACAATAAATATAGGGACCCATTTAACATCCAATTACATTGTATTTGCTGTGTTGGTGTTATGTACTCAGGTGAATAAAATGCTTGCAATTGTGTGATGTTACTCTGAGTGTATATCCACACCGGGCAGGCTTGAAAAATATGCCTGGCCACGGTGGGATTCGAACCTACGACCTTTGGAGTACTAGCCCAATGCTCTGCCAACTGAGCTACGCGGTCAGGACGGTTCGAGTATGCGATATTTCTGAACTGAGTCTAGTTCCTTCGATATCAGTATAATCTAATAATCATGATATTTGCTGTGTTGGTGTAATGTACTCAGGTGAATAAGATGCTTGTGTGACGTTACTCTGAGTTTATATCCACACCGAGCAGGCTTGAAAAATATGCCTGACCACGGTGGGATTCGAACCTACGACCTTTGGAATACTAGCCCAATGCTCTGCCAACTGAGCTACGCGGTCAAGCCTGCCCGGTGTGTATATACACTCAGAGTAACATCACACAAGCATCCAATTACATTGGGGTTTTTTTCTGGACTGCGCTACAGTGATTTTGATTTACTTAATGTCACTCGTGTATGGTCAGCATGAAAAATATGCCATATATACTGTGAAATTTCCGATTTTCCTGGAGGATATAATTCTCAGATAAACTTAGTAACGTTCACTGGAAAAGCTACCGAAAAAGGAAACTTTATTTTTAGACATTGTACATGTTAATCAAACCTTTCAACCATTTAAGGTTTAAGGGTATTTCTATAGTATATGCTCTGTATAGTACAATTAAGTTAATCAGAGTTAAGAGCTGTAATTTCATTTATCATCTGCTTACTTTGCCAATGCGAGATAACAATCGTCTCTTTCTCGACATTTCAGGACCAAAACACGTTTCACTATTTGGTTTAGATTTATGCTCAGATTATATGGTTAAGTAATTAGGTTAAGTAATGTAAGCATAGGTTAAGATTAAGACTTTGAAGGTTTCTTCAGGTTTAAATGAAATAATATAAGTGTGATATAACAAAAGATTTGATTGGCTAATGCGCGTGCATTGTGACGCAATAATGCACTGTGATCTGTGGCACTGCCTTGCTCTTACTCTGTTTTTCCCCCACTTCATCTCTGCTTTCCAGCCAAAAATATAAACTATGGAGCTTTTAAAATACAATATATACCAGAAAGCAAGAAGGAATAGACCAAAGAAACAAAGCAGATTTCTATAGTTATACGTGTAAAATTAACCGGCTTGGCATTCGTCGAATTTGTTGTCAGTGTCTCGACAAGTTTTGGGCAAAAGAGTGCAAAATAGCCGAGAAAAAAAACTTGAAAAAGATACAAGAATACCAAATACATACAAAAAGGCGACAAAAACTAAATATAAGTGATTTAGAAAATTAAAACTGAGTATAAACACGACGAAACCTACGATTTACCGTCTTTCATGGCAAATCCAGCAGCCCAGATGATGAAAAACTTTGGCAAATTAGTCTGTGTATCACTGTTTTTTTTATTTCCACTATTTTAAACAATTTTTTCGGTTTTATAGCATCAGAAGTTTGTATATTGTTTTGGCAATTTTGCTCCTTCGCTCGCTTAAAAATTCAAGCGACAGTAAAAGCATGCGCGTGACGTCATTGAGCATATGTTAGGAGAATTTCAACGTCGCTCTTTTGAGTAAAATTGTTTACTATGTAATATCTTCTACTTTTTTTATAAAAGAAATAGAAAAACTCGTCTCGTGCGTTTATAGTGCGATAATGCACTCGGGGAATGTCGGGGAATTCTCTCGTATTCTCCCAACATTCCCCGCATGCATTATCACACCATAAACGCACGCGACTCGTTTTCTATTTCTTAAATAATGGCACATTTTACCATGTTTCGCACAATCTGGGAGATGTAAGGAAAATAATTACTAAATAAAGAATATAGCATAGCTTTAGAGTTATAGGTTAGAGCTGGGTTAATGCTCGAATTATGGCAACGGCAACGCGCCCTAGTCTTATCGCTTTTTGACAGTTAAGACACGGCTTTAATTTTGGGAGGAGCTCGACGTTTCGAGCGAAGGCCCTTCGTCAAGAGTTAAGTCGAAGGCCGTTCGTCAAGAGTTAAGTCGAAGGCCGTTCGTCAAGAGTTTGGGAGTACATCATGCTGTAATAGTGCACACCAACAAGGAAAGATAAAAGAGCGATTGAGATATGACATCTTAAAAATTTGTTATTGGTAATTGACAATTGGTTTGAATTTTTATCTTAAAAATACCTAATTGATACTGAATTTTAGCTGACAATAAACATAAAAGGACCCCCCTTAACATCCAATTACATAGGTATTTTTCTAGACTGTACTGTTGTGATTGTGATCTAATGTCACTCATGGTCAGTATGAAAAATATGCGATATACCGTGAAATTTCCGGTTTCGCTGGAAGATAATTATCAGATCTATACTTGGTATACCGAAAGTGATACTTTATTTTTTGGAAATTGTACATGTTAACCAAATCTTTCAACCATTCTAAATTAGATATATGGATATTTCTACCATGCTCCATATATATTACAATTAAGTTAATCTGTTAAGAACAGTAAGTTGATTTAACATTTTGCTTACTTATATTACTGCGAGTAACAATCGACGTCGCAATCGTACTCGACATTTCAGAACTAAAACACCTTACACTCTTTGGTTTAGATTTATGGTCAGGTTATATGGTTAAGTTAGGATAAGCAGTAAGCATAGGTTAACATTAAAACTTTGCAGATTTCTTCAGGTTTAAATGGGAATAAGGGAACATTTTAACAATGTTTCGCACAATCTGAGAGATGAAAGGAATAGATAACATTTTTACCTGGGTTTGATGCTGTAACTGGCTGTAGGTTTGGTATAGAAGGATTTCCCGCCATTTTTTTACTATATAAGAAGAAAAGATATTATTTCATTGCCACTGGGTCATCCAGTTTACTGTTTTCGTATTATACTAAACCTATAAACAATATATTGAATCGAAGTCTAGAAAAAAAATCGAATTTATTTACAAATAGCGCATAAATTATAGGCACACTGTTCAACTTACAACATTCTATATACCTAAATTAATTCTATAATAAGTAAATAAATTAATTAAGCAAACAAATCATTCTTAAATTTTAAGCATATTTATATAGTATTAAAATATTGCTTAAATTTCTAGCCGTAGAATTTCTTAATTACAATGAGTTAAGGAAATCATAAAATCTCGCCCAATACAGCGCGCAAAAGTAAACGTATAGTGCCTCAATTTTAGGCACAAAAATGACATATAATAGGTCAACCATGGATTATTGTCAATTACGATTGAAAACTAAAGTTGGATATATGATATTGACGAACAGCCAGTTTCGATTGCGAATGACAGTCAATATAATCTTACCTTTTGTGAATGTTTGAAGAGTCCAATCCTTTTCGTAGATCTTTTTGGGTTGTCCAGCGACAATTGGGAATACGAAAGCGAAACGTTAGGATTTCAACTCGAGCAGTTACCCCCTGTTGCTTAAATAATATTCCAAACTCCCTTTGAGCAAATATGCATGCATAATCAAATTTTTGTTGTCTCTGAAATGATTGAAAATTTTTACTGATAATTTTTAAAATTTATATCTGGCATGCTTCTAAGTTCACAAATTTAGTTCTTACTGTAAAACATTAAAAACACTTTCTTACTTAATAGCATGAGAACATGAAGCCCTGAATAAGTTGAAGTAAGTCATGTTCCTGGCATACGGCCAGGTCATGCACGACTGGAGAGGTGTGTGACGGGGGTATTGTTCATATTGCTGTTCAGTAAGGTATTTTAAATCGAAGCCTTTCGTTTTTGTATGCTCAAACTGTCATTGAACAATCCAAGGAGATCTAGTGAAAGTATTGGGTTCGTCAAATATTCAAAAAAGGTAACATTTATACTGACAGTTACGTGATTGACACTGGCAGTTTGTCAATACCATACATACCTAACTATTTTATTTTTTTCTTAATAATGACTGACGTATATCAATAACCAGTTATTGAAGTATCATTTGTCGCTTAAATTGCCAAGTTGTAGGTTGTCGGCTGGTAATTTAACTCCACCAGGTGCTTACATGGGAACACAATATGTATTGTTGTACATTTCACAAATCTAGAAAACGTACTTATTGTATTAAGATGTAAAATTTTCGGGTTTTAACATCAAGAGCTGTGTGGATAAAAATATACACGTATATCGTGTGAGTCTATGGAGGTTGATACTCCTCAGCATGAAAACGATTACACCGTTTGTTACTCATAACGATAAAACGAGCTACCATGTGTATGAACCAGCGACCAATAAAACGTAGAGATATGCATGTGGACGGATTTGATAGCGAATTGCATGAAACACGTATTCAATACAAAAATTTGAATATGAATAATCATTCATTATCGTCTAAAGGGTATTCAACGTCAAGAAATAAGCATACAATAGCATGTATATGGGAACCATACAAATCTAGAGATTAGACATCAGAGTCACGAATGCAGTCATTCTAATGAAAACGTTGTTTATTAATATTGTTAAACACCAACAGGCGAACAATAAAATAAACTTATAATCATTACAATGGTCTTAATTGCCAACTGTGTGTTTCTAATAACAATAGAATTTTTTCAACTAAACACTACAATATATGTGCGATATCAAGCAGGAAATGTCATCTCCTTCAACCCTGAATGGCCTCCCGTTTACTGTAAGCAGCGTGGAATGTATATTTGCATGAAGCGGTACCTTTGCCCGCAGTTCGCTGCATTTGTTGTACCGATGTTTCGCTGTAAGGCATCTAGGAGAAGATGGGTTCGAAACTCTTCCTAAGGTAGTCTTCGATTTCTTGCCGCGTTTCTATCACCCGTCAAACGCTGAATTTCGGTGTCTGTGTTCTTGTGCGATTCTATTACGCCTGAACATGTCCATGTACCTACACATAATCTACAGATACACACAAACCATGCATGTTCTACAGTATATTTTTTGTTTGTGTGAGACTGCTTATTGTTTAAACAAAGTGCGCAAGCCCTTTCCTGTCTCTATACACCGGGGTGTTAGGAATTTTGGCACCACATTCATGCCAATTATAGCTAGTGTTTAGTTGAAAAGATATCGGTGTTAAATGAACTTGATAAGAATTCTATTGTTATTAGAAACACATAGTTGGCAATTAAGACCATTGTAATGATTATAAGTTTATTTTATTGTTCGCCTGTTGGTGCTTAACAATATTAATAAACAACGTTTTTATTAGAATGAATGCATTCTTGACTCTGATGAGTGATGTCTAATCTCTAGATTTGTATGGTTCCATATACATGCTATTGTATGCTTATTTCTTGACGCTGAATACTTTAGACGATAATGAATGATTATGCATATTCAATTTTTTGTATTGAATACGCGTTTCATGCAATTCGCTGTCAAATCCGTCCACATGCATATCTCTACGTTTTATTGGTCGCTGGTTCATACACATGGTAGCTCATTTTATCGTTATGAGTAACAAACAGTGTAAAACACTTCTGTTAACTCTGCACATGAAGATCCTTCGCTCAAAATCTCAGTTTGTAATCTGGTTGTGCTACATGGACGCTGACATAGGATCAAAATCATTTTATATTTGAATTCATAATATGCCGTTTATATCCGTTCAGTATATTTACTTATTTATCTAAGAACATGCTACATATGACATACACACATACTTTTACCAAAGCACATGCTACATATGACATATATAAGACATATAAATACAAATGGCACGTACAGCTTTCGCCAATTACAGCGATCATATGAAACCATACAGAGAACTCAATGACAGAGTGTCATTAAAATGATAGGTTTTCTTCTTATGTAGTAAAGAATGGCAGAAAATCCAACTGCAAAACCGGAGTTAGAACCAACAACTGGGCAAGGTAAAAGTTTTCGACAATTTCTTCCGTTGGATCGCCAGGCATATTCTACATTAACCAGGTTGAGTAAAACATCTTTGAAATTGTCTTTTAATTCGATTTGAACCTTACATATTTCAGAAAGAGGATAGTAAAGGGTATTTTTGTGAGATGTAAATTGCCAATATTAAATTTTTTCGTGAAATGACGGTTTTTGTATCGTGAAACCTGAATTTCATGCATAGCCGTGTGAGCCATGATTGCCGGTAATTTTGTCCGGGAAATGATAATTTATTTGAGGCTGGTAGAATAAAGGCTGGACCAGTAGAGAGACGTGCGAATGTAAAGAAGAGCAATGCTTTGGATTTTAAAAAAGTCTTTCAATTTTGAGCTTTGATGCAGTGGTAGACCGCGAGCAGTCCCTCGAAGAAATGAGGGACCGCCGACAACACATCAAGAAACGAAATACGCCCACTTTTCGCTCTTGTCAAATTGGCTCCCTTTGCATAAACATTACTATATCCAACTAAATCTATCCAATAGGAAACCGTTAATGTCATGTTTATTTACAGGCCTAGGGTGTATAAAAAAAGGTAATCGAACTTCAGCGCGCTATTGTACCTGGATTACTCGGCGTATGAACATTTTTTTCATATTCGAAAAGATGAGGCTTTTAGCTGTTGAATGACATGTTTTTCATGCCAAATGGAGAAAAAATACGCAAGTACGAGTCCGATAGAAAATGTTAGTCAGAATCGCATATTACAACGGTGAAAATATGCGATCTGACTAGCATTTTTTATCAGACACGTACTTGCTTACTTTTTATCCATTTGGCATGAAGAACATATCAATCAACAGCTAAAAGCCTGATCTTTAAGATGATAAAAAAATCTCGTTCATACGCAGTAATTCAGACACAATAGCGCGCTGACGTTCGATTACTTTTATTTTGACACACCCTGTATAAATCAGCATTCACTCTGGAAATTATTTATAGCATAATTACTACATATCAGATTTGATTGACAAACGTATCGATTTCGACCAATGGGAATTTTGCGTTGTGTAGGCAACGCGGTTTCATTTCTTGCTGTGTTGTCTGCAGTCCCTCCTTACCTTTCTCGTGCCCGGAAATCTAAACCCGCGGAAAGGAGGGACCGCTCGCAGTCTGATGCAGTGGTGAAATATTTAGTTTCGAAGAAGTAAAAATATGCTAACGGTTTACTGAGTGCTCAAGACAACAAAGAGCGCCTTTCAATTTTCGCGAAATGGTTATTTTTTTACATGTAAAATGTCTATTTTTCTTTACGTGCTCTCTCCTCCGCAGAGTCTTTAGATGGCGGATCTTGGAACACGAGCAGAGTCGCTGGGCGAAGGAGCGCAGGCGGGAAAAGCACGATTCCACACCCAACATGGCGATAAACAGGGGAGGATAATTGTCAAACGCAAAACTCAAGTCAAAATGACTGAGAAAATATCTCTTTATGATACTGCAACAAGCTCACAAAGACACAAAGAGATTATTTTACTAGCTCTACGAAATAAGAAAATGTTATGTCCAGTTTGCGAGAAAACATCTGCTATTTTGTCTACTGTAGACAGGGTCTCCCTCTAGTCCACACTGTAAAACAATGCACACAAACAACGTATTTAGCGAACAGGTTTTGGTAGAAGGCGATGCTTTGGTTCGGTAATATGCAAGCGAAGAAACTCTGACGAATATAATGGCTTTGTCCGAGAAACGAAGTAGGAGATAAGAAGTAAACATTGCTTGCTTAAATACTTCTAAATAAGCAGTTCAATTTATATTTGTTTTAAATACAATTTTAAATAAAAAAAAAAATGAGTATGTAGCATACAGAACGGCATTATTAAATTTATTATCAAGACTGAAAATACCATTTCAACTATTTCTACTTCAGCAATATTTTTAAACAAACGTGACCTTGTCTTCCGAACCGCCCACAAACCCCCTCCCCCGCCCCTCCACTTATCCTGTTTATGCCTGATTTTCATATTAACTGATCAATAAATCCTAAGCTTAATAGTGAAAGGTATTTTGGCGGTTGTGAAATGTCGAGAAAGAGACGATTCTCAGTGGCAAAAGTAAGCTAATTTTAAATGGAGAGTATGTTGACCGTGCATGGTTCAGTGTTACAAAAATAGTTATACAGTATTAAATGTACCATATAGAGATTAGTAGAAATATCCCTATATCGAAAATAGTTAAACGCGCACGTACGGTTTGGTTAACATCTACAATTTCTAATGTTTAGGTATAGCTTTTCCAGTGAACGTTACTAAATATCACTCCTAATTGTCTTCCAGGAAAACCGGAAATTTCACAGTGCATGGAATATTTTTCACACTGTCCAGCACCTATGTAATTAAATGTTAATGGGGGTCTTTTCTATTTGTTGTCAGAAAAAAATTAGTATCAATTAGGTAGTTTTAAGATATCAGACCAGTCTTAACCACCCCTTCAATTTTTTTTCATATACGGTACATTACTACGTAGTTAAGAACAGATCTTTTATCTGTCAAACATAACATAGAGAAATGTGAGAACGGCATGAACATATATTGAATGGTTAATTCGGGAGTTCGGAAAGTGCATATTAATTAAACTAGATTCATATTCTCCTACAACGAGCCCTTCTTAAAGCGTGGTCAACGGAGCTGAACGAGAGGTTCCGTCGGAAAGCATAATATTAATAAAATCTGATTGGCTGCAACGAATTTGTCAAAATATGTCAAGACAGAATTTAATTAGTTATATATTTTTCAAATGCGTGATATAGAGAGCCAATCACATGAAGATACAGCTGCGCGTACATTCTGTGCACTGTTCACCTGCAATTATAACACAAATATATTTCCAAATCTCTCAGCAGACATAATGTTTGTGATTGTGAAATCAAACTATTAGGTGTTCGAGCATTCGCTATTTGACTGGGATCAGGTTTTGCTGCTTCTGATTTTGACATTTTCCAGTGCACCTCCGTTGACCGCGTGCACGCAAGAAAGAGCTCAGGGTAAGAAAATGGAACTGGATCGTCTATATAAAAGCCCGTTTACATGCATGTCAGTCATTTTGGGCATGGCACCCTTACATTTTGGCACGAGGACCCATTATTTTTGGCACGGCACTCCTGATTTTTGTCGTGTAAACGCAAAATTATAAAGGTCCGCGTTCCAAAAACTTTAGGCGGGCCGAGAACTCCTCAACAGGTAGTCTCGGCCCGCCTGAAATGGGTCCGCGTCTTGTTTCTCACATTGCAAAAATATTGTGTCTGTACAAACAAAATATCGAGAGAAAATGTGGTCGGACGAAGCTATATATTATACAAGCTAGAGCTCTGATACATGCATGTATATATATGGTAATGCTTAAAGAAACTATTAGCTACAAAGCATATATTTAATTAGTTTCAGCAATGCATACGTGCTGGTGAAGATTATTGTTGTTTCATAATTAAGAATCATCAAGCGCCATCGGTATTAGTATTTTGCTACGTTTATATGGGTTTATAATGAAAAGGATGTAATGAAAAAATGTATTCGTGTCGTGCAATTTTGGACTGAAGTCAAACTTGTGATTACAAATCGTACTCCGGCTTCGCAGTCGCGCGATTTTGTAATCACACAAAGTTTGATTATCATCAGCGAGCTACCTTGTGGCGTAGTGGTTTAGATGTTTAAAAAATTTTTTCAACCTCTTTTGAGTCTGATTTTAAGGTTAGATCTGAGGGGTAGTATTTAGGGTTGTCATATAGAGTATACAAAAAGCGCCACGTAGTTAGCACGAAGAGCAGGAACTCGAATGAGCCATTGAATGCCAATAAAATAATCACAAATAATCACATGCTTCCACGATTTGTTTCGATTGGTCAGAATTAAGTGAAACCACGTGGGAGAATAAATCTTGCGCGAAAAAAACACGACCGAAACTATTGCTCTCGCTTTAGCTCGAGATATAACAATTATCAAACGTATATTATATCCATGATGCACTTATGGAAACCAATGTTGCTTGAGAGCAATTTATTTCGTGGTCTATTTTGAAAGTGTACTTCTGCATTTCCTAATTTTGAATGAATCAATATTATCTTCAAATTACCAATGTTCATGGTTCTACTTGAAAATACCAGGAAAGTTATACTGAGTGGAGATTTAGATATTTACCTTACGCGTGCTTCCTTGTTTTCTTGTTGAAGCAGCCATTTTGGAAATATCCAGATCATGTGATACTCGGCCGGGCAGCTTTCTTTGGGGATGGGAACAAATTATATATGTTGCTCAACAGCAACATTGGCTTTGAATAGAAAAAAATTATATTGGCCACCAAGGGAGGGGTTACAAATTCAATGTTGCACCTGAGCAACAGTGGCCCCCAGAAGGTATTTATGTCCATTAGCGATGGATATGCTGTTTTATAACAATATGATCCTTTGGAGCGTTATAAAAAAGGGGTAGTTGGAATATAGAAAAATTTAGGTTTCATTTGACGGTGCATATGAAACTGCTGTGGACAGTCCAAGTTTCATATATTGCACCAATATATAAATGGTAGGGACATATCTCCTGGATAGTTAATTATAGTCCGTCCTTAAATACCAAAGGTTTGATTACTAGTACCAGAAATGGAATTAGATACTAAAACTTTGAGTTCTGGTATCTCAGTTAGAACTGAAAAATAATTGAAATATCATAGATTCTTGCATCTTACTCATCTTTGTGCTAAAACTACACATTTTGTGCGTGTCTTGCGGCGTGAACGCCTGAGTGGGTGTCTTGTTTGATATCGAAACACCTCGAAGAGTGTATCATGCACTGTATGAGTCCACATACGTCGTATACCTCGTTCGAGAACCACACACTGCAAGATCAATTTGTACAAAACGTCCTGCAGGAAAAGGAATCAAAAGTGTTTGAGGAAAATAATTTATGGCTTTTTGTCCCTAAATTTGAGTTTTCACGACAGAATTAAGCTAATACCCCCCCCCCCCCCCCTCATCCACCCCCACCTTCCAATATTTTTTGCGTACAGCTGCTCTGCACGAAGGTAATCGAATTCATTTAATTTTTAAGGAACTGAAGAAAGACGTGAAACTAGAATTTCTCCACGAATTATTGTTCAAAGTGGTGCGTACTATATTTTGTTGTTTGGTGAGCGTTATCGTGAACAAATTTTGGACGAATTAAGCCAAGCTGCACAAAACGGATATGATCTTTTAACGGTTAGTGTTCATTCAGGACTTGATGGAACCGTCATCATGTATTTTCGAATTTAAAGTTTTAATTCCCAAGCCAACGTCCGGGGAAGCGGCTATGGCACTCCTGCTTTTTGTGTATATTATTATTATATATTTTTATTTTTTTTCAATGCCTGCTTCGAGCACGATTTTTTATCATTTGCGTCTAAAAACGCATTTGTTTTACAGATCTTGTACGAAATGTTTCTCTGTAATATAATTTGGAGTTGTATTTTGATTTAATCCCTGGTTGAGACACAACAGTAATCCACTGCAATACCGGTGCACGATTGAATAAACAGGAGAGATATTTCATTGCACTAAGCATAAAGCATATGCGAATATACATTTCTTAAATCTGATAATGCTTTAACAAGTGAACTAGGTAAAACAGATATTTTTAACTGTATTTATATGTGGCAATAAATAGGTTTTAAAAATATTGTGTAGTGTTAGTTTCGTTGCTAATCGACGCTAAGTCATTAGGTAGACAAAGATTGAGGTAGTTTAAGATTAGGTACACACGAATTTGCATAGCTAATAAGATCCCAATGGACATATAGGGATATTAGCTGTCGCCGTAGCAACTGTTACAAGTTGTCTTATCATCATCATCCTCAGATTGTGTGTCCTGACGCGACCACTTGCTGGAAATCGATAAGAGCCTAATCATAAACGTATGCGTCCTCACAGTGTTAGCCTACTAACACTGTGAGGACGTATACGTTTACGATTAGGCTCTTATCGATTTCCAATTCTCCAAGACCTTTTATAAATGCGCTGAATCCAACCGGTTCAGGAATATCTGGATGATAAGGCGTGACACAAATATTTCATAAAGGTTTACAATGTCAGATTCTCGTATGTCTTGTCTTCTGTAAACGATTTCTCATTTTCCAATCCAAATCAAAATCCCCGTAGACGTTAGAGTTGAATGTAGTATTTCTTCGGCTTCGTGTTTATCATCAATTAACGCCAAGATATTCAAGAATGCCTTGAAGCCTCCACCGTCCATGAGATGATCTTTTGGCACTATCCAGGGTTGGAATGAGGAGAAGACCTTAAGGCGGCTCGATACAGTATTAAAAAAAATGGAAAATTCACGATTTAGATGCGTATTTTTGGATTATTATTACTTGTTGATAAACAAAAAGTACCTTACTTATATAAAACAACATCTAACAAGATTTAGCACAAAAGTTACGCAACTGCCGTTGCTATGGTAACTATGACGTTTCAAGATGGCGGATATTTTGGCTTTAAAGTAATTTAACTCGTAAACGACATCGATGATCCCAAATTTTATTTTAAAAAATGGTTTCTCTTAGTATAATCAATTATTTTGACAATTTAAAAAAAATTCTGTCGTGCAAAAAAAAATTATTGTGAATAATCACCTTTACTTATTTTAAAAAGTTTCGGCTCCACATAATTTTTTTAAATTGTAAACATAGTTCAATATACTAAAAGAAATCATTTTTTTAAATAAAATTTGGGGGTCAGCGATGTCGTTTACGAGTTAAATTACTTTAAAGCCAAAATAACCGCCATGTTCAAACGTCATTGTTGCTATAGCAACGGCAGTTGCGTAACTTTCGTGCAAAAATTCAAACTCTTTAGATGTTTTTTATATAAGAAAGGTGCTTGTTGTTTATCAACAAGTAATAATTGTCCAAAAATACGCATCTAAATCGTGAATTTTCCATTTTTTTTAAACTGTATTGAGCCACCTTAATGCTGATTATATCATACACGTTCTACAAGCAAGTCCTTCTAGGGGTGATCCAAGTACAAGTCCTAGAAAACCAATACGGCGCTGAATATAACTAATTCCTCTTTTCGTCCTAAAACTTCTCCTTCTGTTCGCTAGATTAGCTAGATCTTGTTTAAAACGTCTCAGTTTGTCGTTCGTTTTATTAGAGTATATAAAATGTTCTATACAATAACACAAACATCGAATTTGCTCAGCTGATGCAAAATTAAGAAGAGGTTGTTGTTGAGGTTCGATTTAAAAAGTTCTACAGAGTCCGAAATAACTACATTTTCAGGCAACTCGTTCCATTCCTTTACTGTAACGGTTTTAGGGAAATACGAAAATTTGTAAACATCTTTCTTGATCCTCGGGACTCTGAATTAATTTTAAAAGGATGGCTACCGGATGTCCGTGTTTCAGTGTGGGGAACCAGATGATTTTCCAAGTTCATATCCAATAGGTTGTGAGACATTTTATACATCGTTGTCAATCTCACCTTTCTCCTTCTGATTTCTGATTTCTAAAGATCCTTCAGTATACCAGTGACACTTTCCATTGGTTTATTGTTACATAAACATAGCCTGTGTACAGCCGTTACTCTCGACGAAGCGCGCGAGAAAACGTCTGTGAGTTGGATGCATAATCCTTGTTCAGGTCACGTGGATAGTTCACAGTTTTGGGGACAGGCCTCTGATTGGACAGTGCTTTATTTGAATAATTTATGATAAATGAAGCTATTTCTTTGGTTAATTGATAATTAGCATGCGTTTAAAATAACACCACAAAAATTTTAAATTTAGAGATTTCCAGATCAAGAATCAAGATTTCCTTCGGGGCATACAAAAGTTTGAAAGACTTGAAATACCATCTGAAAAACGATACACCAGAAATATATGCATATATACATATATTTCTCGATGAAGAGATTTGTTTTGAATGCGAACAATGCTGAACGATGATCATTGCCGGCAAGTCCGGTGAACAAGCTCAGTTCTTGGCGTACATGTGGCGTATATTTGTTTACAAAGACAAAGTATTAAATATAAATACAACTGGTTATTCAAAAGGTGCATTTTAAAGTAATAATATTAAAAGTTAACTGACCAAGTAAGAAGAAGTTAAACACATTACATGTAAAGAAAATGCTTTATCGCGAGGGGTCGGGACATATAAACAGATTGTCAATTTATTAAATTGTCAATTATAAATTGTCAATTTCCGTCCGATAGTTTGTTGTATTTTATATATTTGTCAGCATCGTCCGCTGAGTGTCCAAACACTAGAATTTTATCTTAAGCTTGATTTTCTTAAACTTCGATACAGCACAAAATTACTAATATAAAAAACGTTCCAAATATTTTTTTTTAATTACACCTTTTCGGTCCCCCTTTTGCAAATTTTGGGGGCTCCTTAAACTGGGGTCCCGGGGCAAATTGCACCGTTTGCCCCCTCCCCCCTTCTGGGCGACCCTGGTAGAAAGAATAAATCTTCCCGAATTCGATGACGTGTTTTGTTTTTATTTTCCTCAAAGAAAGTGAGTTCGCTTCTGCATTTTATCAAGGTCATTTTATTGGCGTGTCCACTTACCCGAAACAAGCGTAATTACAATATGTAATTAGCATAACTAAAAAGCAATTCCTGTACCAAACAAATAAAAAATAGTTTGATAAGATTCTTAAATAATACAAATATAAAAACATGCCTTTGAAATAACGAGATATAACGCAGCCAAAATCGCAATGTTAAACTTTTCTCCAAACGTTCGTTGAAAATCGTAATTGTGAATAATAATGAGACGCAACGCATTGCGGGAAGAACCTCATTCCTCCTCTGGGGCATAACCATGCACAATGAGCTAGACAAGACATCATTCGCGGCTTCGGGAAATGCACAACACAATTTATGAAACCATAAATTACACTCCTGACATATAACTACGGACTCATGAGCTCCCACAAAATTCATACACAAGTCGCATTTGGGCTGGACATCGTCACCAGGGTTTAATTCAACATCACTCCCAAGTAGAAGCAACACATGCGATAACCACCCATAATTATTTAAAACATGCTTGAGGCTATTTCACATTCTTCGACCTAACCAAGCGAGCCAAAACTTCAATTCCTGCTGAAATGGCATCCTTCTAGCCAGAGGATGGCAATTTTTAAACTCCAAAACTCCACCAGGATTGTTACAACGACTCTCAACAATTGTGAGCCTTCATCGTTCGAATGTGCATAAAAATAAAAATATTATTAACAGAGCCCAAATAGACACGGCCATGTTTGCATCAGACAAGTGTTTTGGGGTTTTTTTTTTAGTATGATATAAAACGCCCAAATCATGCGTAAATACGTAATTCAAGAACTGAGCAAATATTAATTAACGTATGTCCAGAGCTTTCCAAGATTCAATTACTAAACTGGCCATACGCGCGGAGTCAGATAACGTCAAGAGTAACGCCTGTTTTATACGCCAACGTCTGGGTGATCATTTCCAACGAGTGATTCAACGTTGAATAAACGTCGTTTTGCCCGCTGGACCGAATTTTGGTCGCGTCGAATGCAATTAAGTAAGACATTAGATAACGAGATGATAAACCTCATTTTCAACCTTCATTATCTATTGTTTTAATTGCATTAATCGCAATCGAAATTCGACGTAAGGAATGAGAGCAAAAAAAGTTTAGGATTGGCGTTTTGTCTTAGCAAAAACATATATTATTGTTTTTTTAATTGTCGTCGGAGATATTCCTGTAGCTAATGATGGCAGTGTTTGTGTTCTATTTTATTGTTACATACTATACCAAGGAAAGTTGCATCTGTTGTCGTGAAACCAAAGTGACCCAAAATATTTTTTTAAATATTTATTCCATCACGACAGATCAAAACACTAACCTTGAATTCTATTGAATTGTATCAGGAAGGCCGCACAGCAGTTGATGCTGTAGAAGAAGCAGTTCGTTTACTGGAAGACAGTAAGTACTTCAATGCTGGCCATGGATCATTATTGAACAATGAAGGTGAAGTAGAATGCGATGCAATGATTATGGATGGACACACAATGGAAACAGGTATATGATTTGGCAGAAAGCAAACAATGTTGTCAAGTGAAATACTCGTTATCGAAGTAACGCGATACCATTACTTTTTTAGTAAGTTTTTGGTACTAGCTATAATTACTTACATGCCATGTGGAAGTAACGTTCTTACGTAATTTATTAATTTATCTAAATAAAAAATTATTGCAATCTGATTGGTTAAGAGGAGGGCTATTTTGTATTAATTGCACTCACCAGAAGTATAATTAATGACTTGAAAGGCAAAATGGCGGCTCCCTTTGTAAATACAGTACAAACGAGTCTAAAATTTACTTGCTTAAAAAGCAAAAAGTAATTTTGTGTTATGTGTATGTATTTTATATTTTTTCAACATAATCAACTATGAAAATTCCAAAAAGAAACGCCTGTTCAGCTGTCGAACGTTAACTAGTCATGCTATTGCGCCTGATGTAACTTAAGATAGCTCAATACAAGCTACAAAAATGGAAGGTTCACGATTTAGATCTGCTTTTTTATTATTACTTCGTAAAAAACAAAAAATATCTTAATACTGGTATAAACAACACCAAAATGGTCTCAATTTTTTCTCCAAAGTTGCACAACTTCGGTTGCTATGGCAACAATGACGTTTCAAGTAATTTAACTTGAAAATGTGATGGGTTGCCCTCAAATTTTATTTCATGAAATGATTCCTCTTAGTATAATCAAAATTTATTATAGACCACCGCCCAACATTCTGAAAGGTACACTCTGATGGCATTTTTTGTTACAAGCTGCTAACTGGCATTTTCTTATAGCTTACACATTGGTAAACAAGACTACATTTTGCGTAATAAAGTACTATATGTTGACTAAAAATACAAAATTTCAAGTTCACTTTTCACAAAAATAATCTATACCATTAGAAAGATTACAGAGAGGTATATATAAGACATTTAAGAAACATTCAAACGTTATTATTGCCATATAGCAACGGTAGTTGCAAAACTTTTGTTACCCAATGAACATATTAATCAAAATTTTGAACTCAACAAGTCTAGACAAAATTTTCATCACAGCTTGAAAGAGCATCACAAAATTAGCAATAATCCAAAGTTTCGTTGCGAAATGTTGTAAAATGCGAATAATATAGCCTTTGCGAAGTTTGCAATTTTCAGTTATTTTGTATTACAAACGGGAAATGGTTACCACTTACGTGCGTAATACAAAATGACTGAAAATTACAAACTTCGCAAAGGCTATATTATTCGCATTTTACAACATTTCGCAACGAAACTTTGGAATATTTCTAATTTTGTGATGCTTTTTCATGCTGTGATGAAATTTTATCTAGATTTGTTGAGATCAAAATTTTGGTTAATTGGGGATTGGTCCATTATTAACTCTGTATCTTGATCCGTAGGCGCAGTTATGGGTGCACGCCATTTTTCAAATCCTGTTTCGTTATCCAGAAAAATCATGGAAGAATCATATCATTGCGCCTTAAGCGGAGAGGGAGCTTTGAGATTTGCTGAGAGAATAGGCTATCCCATTTGTGATCCGAAAGATCTTATAGAAGAAGAGATAAAAAAGCGTTCAAGTGATCTTAATCTAACCTACAAGCGCTATTCAGATATTATAAAATGTTACATTTTGGGAGAGGCACTGCCTGATAATCCTGAAAATAACGAAAGTGAGCAACCCCCTACCTCCTCTGACGCCGCTTTGCGTGTTAGGGATACCTTCGACACAGTATCAGCCGTTGCTTTGGATAGCAATGGGCACTTTGCGTGTGCAACATCTACAGGTAATATTGAAATAAAATAGGATTACATAATTAGATCTACAAAATTGGAAAAATATTTATTGTTTTGTGAACAGTATAAGGTTGCCTCATTTTAAAAGAAAACTGACGAACGTCGCATTGCCAGACAGGAAATGCGTAAATCACGATTAGAATGATATGCCTAAATATGGCTAGAAATGAAGGACAGTATGGCGATTGGCTTTGTAAGAATATGCGCAGAGCTAACAAATTTTAGGAATTCAAGATGGCGGAAATATAGAGCTTTAATAGTATAAAAATATAAGATCGATGCGCATACAGAAAGAGTGTAAAATTTTCAAGTTGCCCACGTCTACAAATCTACAAAATACCTCAATAATGTTGTCTTGCAAACTCTTTACGTCTCACGATTTGCTACTAGCCGGACCAAGTAACTCCATTTGCCGATATTTTCTGGCACTGTAAACTCCATTAAAACGGTGAAATCCCCTCAGGTTGCTATGTTCAGCCCGGTGTCCCAGGATTTTCGCCCCCCCCCCTACATTTTCGCCCCCCGGGGGGCGAAATTCCTAGGAATATCGCCCCCCCAGGGGGGCGAAAAT